AACTAGAAATCATACTTCCACCAATTAAATTTACGTCTTGTTCCATAAATTCATACTTCCAAATAAGTATTTCATCTTCATCGTCATTTCCAACCAAATACCATTACTTAAGAATCCAATTAAAATTCTAGGGTTTGCTAAAAAAATAAAATAAAATAAAAAATAAAATCCCTTACCTTGATTCAAATGGAAGCTAACCCATTAAGAAGTTTGTACTAGAAATATTAATCCTTCCTCAGATTTTGAAATTTCGAACCAAGTTAAAACCCTGGAAATGAAACATAAATTATACTGTCTCTTAAAGAAATAAATAAATAAAACCCAAAATGAAGGAAATCAACACTTGCTCCTCCCTCCTCCCTCTTCCCTTTTTTCCCCTCTTTTTCTTCTTGTTTCCTCCTTATTTTTTCCATCATTTCCGGGCTCTGTTTCGGACTTCAGCCTCTGTTTCGGTTCCAGCCTTGTGCGAGTGTGTGAAACAAGTGATAAATGTGGTTTAAAGTGCCATGTTAGTGGGCTTTTTGCAAAGGAAGTCCCTTAACTTCCAATGATATATAAGTAAACCCTCAACTTCCAATGAATTCCATCTTAAACCCTCCATTATAGTAAATTATAAAGTAAGCCCCAATAGAATCATTTATTCCACATAAGCCCTTTTTTTTTTTTTTTTAAACATTGACTTTGACTAGTTGAACCTTTGACTTTGAAATAATATCTTGACTTTTGACTTGTAGGAAATGGGGTGTAACACTAACGCAATGTTAAATCCTATTACAATAGATTATACCAACAACAGAGTATTTGCATTGAAATAGGAGTAAAAAATATTGCTTTGACTCCTTGTAGTCTTCTATTTCTTCAAGTCTTCTCCATATCAAACAACTAACTCCAAATTTACATTTAAAATAGAATTCAGGTCACACCGAAATTCTAACACATGTGAAAAAGGGATATGACCATGCAAAAGAACTGAATATTGCCCAGAAACAGCAACAAAACTAAACTCCGTCTCATTTTATTCCAACTTGAGCAAACCATCGTGAAGCCTTATTACCATGTTTGTTTTACTCACGTGTAACATGAACAATAATTGAAAATAGGCATACTGAAGTTTTACTTATAAAGTGTAATGATTAAGTTTTATTTAGAGTACATGTCTTTACCTTTAATGCTCGTAACATGGTGATGCTTGGATTTCTCCACATCAGCATCATTGCACACTTGAGCAATCTTTTCAATCATTTGAAGGTTAAGTTCTAATTCACCCACTAGCCAGCTTTCTATATATCTATCAAAAGGATTATAAGTGGTCTATTCCACATCGAATGATCGCAGTGTATTTACCTTGGAACCCATAGCAACTAGCTTAGCCACTGCCATCCAGTTGGTAGTTAAAGTACTAGTCTGATCGGAACAAATCACAGTCGTGCAACCAAGAGTTTCAACACTCGTCAACTTTTGAACAAATGCATTCTTGGCAACCATCTTCTGGGTTCCAAGGGCCAAACAAGTTGTAATAACTGCAAGTAAACCTTCAGGAATGGCAACGACTTCCAAAGCTACAACAATCTCAAAGTAATAAGTGTGCACTTCTTCCCAAATGAGAACTTCAAATTCTTTGGCCAGCCATTAACAAATTCCCAAGAAAGGAAATATTTCACATTAATCAGCCAAACCAAAGTACAAATTACTCAAATTAGCAGTTGAAAAAT